AGAATTCTTGCCTTCCATGTGGGAGGCCTGGATTTGATTCCCAGGTACTGTACCTCAAGCACAGCCACTGTCAGTAATGGATCTGATAATGGGTAAATTTCAGAGGAATTTCCAGACTAAGATTAGAAAAAAGGCCTGGCAATGTATTTCCAAAGGTAAGCCAGTGAAACCTGATGGATTACAGTGGTCTGTGGTCAGATACCATTGTGATTCGGGTTGCTATGAGTTGGGGACCAACTTGATGGTAACTAACAACAACAGTGCCTCTAAATGGAAAAATAACCTGGGTAGGTAAGGTGAGATGCAAAACAGATGAACATGCTAGCAAGAGTCTTTTAGCACAAAACTACAGTCTAAAAGCTAGTTTTATGGAAGACAAATCTTTTATGCCAAAAGATTCTATCCATAGGTGTAAGCTAGGATTTTTAGTTTCCTTTAGAGTGGGTTAGATCACTGAAATACACCAAAACCTAACCAAATCCACCGCCACCGAGTCAGTTTTGACTTATTCACCAACAACACAGAATACAATAGAATTGCTCCTTAGGGATTCCAAGACTATAAATCTTTACAGGAACAGAGAGTCTCACCTTTCCCCTGCAGAGCAGCTGGTGGATTTGAACTGCTGACCTTGTGGTTAGGGTCCCAATGCTTAACCTACTATGCTAAACATACCTTGTACTATGGAGTTGATTCCGACTCATAGCGACCCTGTATAGGGTTTCTGAGGCTGTAAATCATTATGGGAGCAGAAAGCTTCATCTTTTTCCCATGAAGCAGGTAGTAGATTCAAACTGCCGACATTATGGTTAGCAAGTCAGTTCATAATCCACTATGATAGCAGAGCTCCTTTAACGGTACCTAGAAGCTTAAATATATTTGTGTCTGTGTGAACATGTATATGTGTAAGAATATATATATATATATAAAGTCTTGGTGTGGTACTCTGGGCTAATGTGTCAGACTGAAGAGTCATCTGAACTGCGAGGTTGGCAGTTCAAGCTCACCAGCTGCTCCTTGGAAACCCTATACAGGGTCATTATGGGTCGGAATCAACTCGACGGCACTTAACACCATGTGTATGTGTGTGTGTATGTATATATGTATATCTATGTATATTGTTGTTGTTAGGTGCCATCGAGTTGGTACCGACTCATAGTGACCCTATGCACAGCAGAACGAAACACTGCCCAATCCTGGGCCACTACTGTTGCCACGCTGAGTCCATCGATGCTGCTACTTGGCCAGTCCATCTTGTTGGAGGTCTTCCTCTTTTTCTCTGACCCACCACCTTACCAAACATGATATCCTTCTCCAGTGACTATGTATATTGTTGTTGTTATGAAGTGCCGTTGAGTCGGTTCTGACCCATAGTGACCCTGTATAGGGTTTCCAAGGAGCAGCTGGTGAGCTTGAATTGCCAACATTGCAGTTCAAACGGCGTTGCACTGTGGTGCATTAGCCCACAACACCACTATATGTATATTATATATATATATAAAATTCTACAACCAGAGTGCAGATAATTTTTAACTCACCCTTGTATGTAGAATTAATTTTAATCAACTTCTAGAAAAGTCAAAGACATCATTTTTCTGTATAGTCTTCAGTAGTAGACTTTACCCATCTGTTAACAAGTTTTCGTATTCCCTTATAAAAAAATGTTTTAAGTTGAACTGTGAGCCACGAATGCATCACTGTCTTCACTTTTTCATCAGAGGTGAATCTTTGACCTCAAAGGTCTGCTTTCAGGAGGACCAAAGAGGTAAAAGTCTGATGGAGCAAGATCAGGACTATAGGGAGAATGCTTTATTTTAACACCTCAAAATGAAGTTTTTTCAGTGTAGACAGTGTGGGCAGAGGTGTATGGACGTACATTGTAATGCAAGATCACAACACCCTTGGATAGCAGTCTTCTGTGTTTAATCTGAAGTTTAGGCTAAAGTAATGAGCACTGTTGATTGTTGAACCTTTTTCCTGATAGTGTACCAATACTGGCCCTTGAGAATCCTAGAAAACTGTAAGCATCAATTTTCCAATTGATGGTTGACTTTTGAACTTTTTCTTGGTCTGCGATTTAGGATGTTTCCATCCCATACTCTGTAATTTATTCTTAGGCTTATAGTGATAGATCCATGTCTCATCACCAGTAATAATTTTTTTTAAGAAACTTTAGCCTTTCTTTGAGTATGGGCCCAAATTTTGTTTGCGGATATCCAAACGCTTCTGTTTTTGCTTTTCTATGAGTTGTTTCAGTACCCATCTAGCACAAACTTTTGGAGAAAACCAAGTCTGTCATGGATTATTTCATAGACAGAGCCAAGCCTGATTTGCTACATAATCTGTTGTCACTTGTCTATTCAACAGAATCATTTTACTTGCATGCTCCGTGTTGCCATCAGTCACGGACATGGATGGGCATTTTAATGTCACCAGAGTGTAGATAATTTTTGACTCACTCTTGGGGGGGAGGGGAAGGGCTTCAAAAAGCCTGTGGGAAAATTCCATTTTTTTTCTGAAGCCCTGTGTGTGTATGTATTTGTTGTAGTTGTTAGGTGCTGTCAGTATCAAACCATAGCACAATGTACAACAGAACTAAACGCTGCCCAGTTCTGTGCCAACCTCACAATTGTTGCTACACTTGAGCCCATTGCTGCTGCCACTGTGCCAATAAATTTCATTGGGAGTCTTCCTCTTTTTTGTTGACCTTCCACGTTACCAAGCTTAATGTCCTTCTCCAGGGCCTGGTTCTTCCTGATTATATGTCCGAAGTATGAAAAACCAAGTCTGGCCATCCTGGCTTCAAAGGAGCATTCCCGTTGTACTTCTTCCAACACAGATTTGTTTGTTCTTTTGGCAGTACACGATACTTTTAATATTCTAATCCAACACCTTAACTCAAATGCATCAATTCTTCTCAGGTCTTTCTTAATCATTGTCCAACATTCACATGTATATATGAGGCTATTGAAAATACCATGACTTGGTTCAAGGCACCTTGGTCCTCAAACTGACATCTTTGCTCTTGAACACTTTAAAGAAGTCTTGTGCAGCAGATTTGCTTAATGCAATACGTCATTTGATTTCCTCACTGTTGTTTCCATCAGCATTGATGGTTGATCTGAGCAAAATGAAGTCTTTAACGACTTTAATCTTTTCTCCATTTATTTTGATGTTATTTATTGGTTCAATGGTGAGGATTTTTGTTTTCTTTACACTGAGGTGCAATCTATACCGAAGGCTGTGGTCTTTGATCTTCATCAGTAAGTATTTTAAATCCTCTTTGCTTTCCGTAAGCAAGGTTGTATCATCTGCATATTGCAGGTTATTAATGAGTCTGTCCAGTCCTGATGCCATGTTCTTTTTATAATCCAGCTTCTTGAATTTTTTGCTCAACATACAGATTAAATAAGTATGGTGAAAGAATACAGCCCTGGTGCACACCTTTTCTAATTTTAAACCATTAAGTGTCCTTTTGTTCTGTTTGAACAACTGCCTCTTGATCTTTGTACAGATTCCTTATGTGCACCATTAAGTGTTCTTGAATACTCATTCTCTGCAATGTTGTCCATAACTTGTCAGGTTCCACGCAATTGAAAGCCTTTGCATAGTCAATAAAACACAGGTAAACATCTTTCTGGTATTCTCTGCTTTCAGCCAAGATCCATCTGACATCAGCAATGATAATCCTCATTCTACATCCTCTTTGAATCCGGCTTGACCTCTGGCAGTTCCCTGTTTATGTACTGTTGCAGCCGTTTTTTAATTACCCTTAGCAAAATTGTACTTGCATGCAATATTAATGATCTAATAATTTCTGCATTCTGTTGCATCACCTCTCTTTGGAATGGGCACAAATATGGATCTTTTTCAATCAGTTGGCCAAATTTCTTGGCTGCCTTCCAAATTTCTTGGCATAGATGAGTAAGTGGCTCCATTACAACATCAATTTGTTGCCCTTGTTCAGACTATCAACTACCTTTTGTTCCTCGGTTTGAGTTCTGGTCAACTAGCCATCCAGGTTAGGTCAAATGGGTGCTAGCTGCAAGTTTGGGAGTTCATGCATACCTCCCTATACTTCATTCAGACCAGCTGGCTGCTGCAATGTCAGTCCTAGCTCATGGGCTAGCTCAGTTGGTGCATATATTTGAATAATTGGTCTTCCTTCTAGGTATATGGATAGTATCCTATCACAGACAGCATTGTGCTTCAAGACAGACCTTGAAATGTTCTTTTTGTTGATGAAGGTGATGCCATTCCTCTTCAATTTATCATTTCTGGCATAGTAAACCATATGATTGTCAGACTCCAAATGTCTAGTACCAATCCTTTTCAGCTCACTAATGCCTAAGATACCGATGTGTTTGTGTTCCATTTCATATTTGACAAAGTCCAATTTTCCTAGATTCATACTTCATACGTTCCGTGTTCCGATTATTAATGAATGTTTACAGCTGTTTCTCCTCATCTCCTTATTTTGAGTTGTGCCCCATCAGCAAATGAAGGTCCCGAAGACTTTATTCCGTTCACATCATCACGGTCAACTCTATTTTGAGGAGACAGCTCTACCCCAGTTGTTTTGAGTGCATCCCAACCTGAGAAGTTCATCATTCAGCACTATATCTGACAATATTCAGGTGCTCTTCATCATGTTTCAATATTCAATATTCTGATGCTATCTGTCAGTGTTCCACTGTTATTAATAAGGTTTTCAGTGACTGAATATTTGGAAGGAGCCTGTCTCTTCCTTCCTTAGAAGAAAACTAAGCTGAAATCTATCCACCATTGGTGACCCTGCTGATATTTAAAATACCAGTGGCATAGCTTCCCAAATCACAGCAACACAGAAACCACCACAGTATGACAAATTTCAGGAATATTCTAAAGTTGTAAAGACTTCTTAAATGTAATATTTATTTTACAATTTTTATCGTTTCCATATTTCTTCTTAATTTTCATTGTCACTCTAAATCCAGTAATTTTTGTTTTTTTAGATATTTAGCTTCCTGTGGTATACTGATGAGCAGAACTTTTCCACTACATACCTCAGTTGTGCCTAAGGAGATACATGCAAGAACTTTCCTGAAAATCACTGCACCATTAATAAACAAAAGAAAAGAATATTCAGAGAGGAGAATAATAGGGTTTGTATATAATAATAATTCTAAAAGAGCATTTTACAATTTTCTATGAAGTATCATACCTTTTTTTCTGGATTCTGTTGTTATAGCTGAAGTTCTGGCTTTTTGTAGATTGACCTTCACTTGCTGTTTTATAAATATTTGTTGAAAGAATGTAATTGTGTGGTAATTTTTAGGCTATAGATGCAAACCTTGATGTATAAAGAAAATAATTTAACTCTTTATAATCTAAAGTTTGTACATTATTTTCTACTGCAGTGTTAAGAATACTGATACATTAGACAAATATCTTTAGCTCTCTCACAAGGGTGCACTGTGGTTCTGTAGGATAAATACTGGACTGCTAACCAAAAAGTCGTCAGTTCAAGCCCAGCAGCATCTCCCCAGAGAAAGATGAGGCTTTCTGCTCCTCTAAAGATTTATATCCTTGGAAACCCTATATAGGGTCGCTATGAGTCAGAAATGAGTTAATGGCACTTAACAAGGGCTCCCTCACATAACACATGTTCAATACAAAGAAAAATACATGTAAGAGGCTCCAGTCATATAGACCGGGGCTGGTACACTTTTTTTGTAAAGGACCAGATAGTGAATATTTTAGCTTTGCAGTCTCTTATGATTACTCAACCTTGTTGGTGTAGCACCGAAGCGGCCATACACAATGCATAAACAAATGGACATGACTGTGTTCTAATAAAACTTTAAAAATAACAACAAAACAGATGGTGAGCCAAATTTGGCCTCTCTGGTAGCATAGTGCTTGAGTCTGGCTGCTAACTTCAAGGTCAGCAGTTCGAAATTATCAGCTGTTCTACGGGAGAAACATGAGGCTTTTTGCTCCTGTAAAGATTTACAGCCTCAGAAACCCTATACAGGCTCGCTGTGAGTAGGAACTGAGTCTATGGCACACTACTACCACCACCACATAGAGCAGAGGATGTTACAGTGAGTTGAGGATCTATAGTTCAGCTAACCACAATACAACAACCATCCATATTTCTAGAATGGTGTCTTAATTCCCTGAAAGCCACTAAGTGTTACATAAAACCTTCAAAAAATGTAGTTTCTTTCATTTTAATCAATTGCTTTTTGCCTTCTGACTTTTTGTAATAAAAAAAAGGCCTTTCAACAGACTCAGTGTTTTGTCATTATATTTAACTTTATTAAGAATACCTACGTGGTGCAAATGGTTAAGCACTCCTCTGCTAACCAAAAAATTGGTGTTCCAAACCTACCTAGAGGTACTTCAGAAGAAAACTTGGCAGTCTGTTTCCAAATTGTAAACCTTGTTTAGTAACAGCTCTGCTTTGCAACACATGAGCTTGCCATGAGTTGAAATTGACTTGTTACTCACTGTATTTGATTAAGGTAATGATAGTTGTTATCCAGAGAACTCTCAAAAGCTTGTTTCTTTCTTTTATATATTTCAAATGTGTATTCCTGATTCATAGGCAGCTGTGCTCCAAGTAGTGAATCAGGAAACCAGGCTTCATTCAACTCTGACCTCTGTAATTCTCTAGTTAGTCTTCATGGTTGGTTAAAAACAAAAGGACTTTACAAAGTTTTTGGAAAAATTTCATTTTCTTTCAGTCCCAGTTTTCCATGAACTTTTTTTGAAAGACTCCTTTATAGATCTGAAAGCCACTTCCACCCAGATATTATTGGCAAGAATTAGTCATGTGGCCCCATCTAAATGCAAGGGAGTGGGTTAGGTGCTGTCAAGTCAGTTTGCTATCATACCAACCCTGTGTGTAACAGAACGAAACACTGCCTTGTCCACTGCCATCCTCACAATCATTGCTGGGTTTGAGCTCATGTTTTACAGCCACTGTGTCAGTCCATCTTGTTGAGGGTCCTCTTTTTCTCAGATCATCTACTTTACCAAGTCTTTCTCCAGTCCCTAATTGTAGTGTCTTGATGGACAGCTATTTCAGCAACAACATTATGTAAAGGGAGCACAGATCTTTGCATAGTGAACCATCTTTGCTACAGCTGGTATCTTAAACAGAAATGGCAATTTAAAGATAAATTGTGAAGTTTATCTACTTTATTTGTGACTCACTGATGATACCTACCCTTTATTATATGTCTGTTATTTGATAGACACTGCTAGGTGCTTCATATTATTTCATTTAATCCTCATTAGATGTGGAATAGGCAGTTGTTCTCATTTTCAAGATGAAGAAAGTGAAGCTTAGAAAGATAATGAACATTAATTATTAGGACTGCAGAGCTTTTTTTCCCACCATGCTTACTTTGCTTCCTTATTCATCTAATGCAAAAATTATTTTTATTACAAATTGGTCAGATCCAATGATCTTCGATTTGTCTTTTTTCCCTCATATTTGGTATAAAAACATATAATAATAATTGCTAGCATTTATGATTAACTATCAACACTCGCGGAAGCAGCAGTCAGGAGATCAGACGACGTATTGCATTGGGCAAATCTGCTGCACAGGAACTTTTTAAAGTATTGAAGAACAGAGATGTCAGCTTGAGGACTAAGATGCGCCTAACCCAGGCCATGGTGTTTTCAATAGCCTCATATGGGATGTGAAAGCTGGACAAGGGAGTAAGGAAGATTGTAGAAGAATTGATGCCTTTGAGTTGTGGTGTTGGAGGAAAATACTGAAAGTGCCATGGACTGCCAAAAGAACCAATAGATCTGTTTTGGAAGAAGTGCAGACAGAGTGCTCCTTGGAGTCCAAGATGGCTAAGCTTCGTCTCTCATACTTTGGACATATTGTCCGGAGGAAACAGTCGCTGGAGAAGGATGTCATGCTGGGTAAGGTGGAGGGTAAGAGAAAAAGAGGAAGACCCCTAACGAGATGGATTGGTCAGGTGGCATCATTGATGGACTCAAGTGTGGCAGCGGTAGTGAGGTTGGCCCAGGATTGGACAGTGTTTCGTTCTGCTGTGCATGGGGTCTCTATGAGTCGGTTCCGACTCGATGGCACCTGACAACAACAACAACAAGCATTTATTACATGCTTATTGAAGTCATATACTCTGCTGAAACTCATTTACACTTGAAAAATATCTATAGAGGTATTTTTATAATTATGGTTGAAGGAAATGAAATTGAGAGGTCAAGCAACCTACTTAGTGGTCACATGACTACAAGTTTTTAGAGTTAGTATTTGAACATGGTTCTTTCTGACTTATGAAGTTTATAACCTAACTACTGTGCTAGCCTGCTTGCTTAGCCTTTATGTTGTTGTTAAGTGCCATCAAGTCAGTTCCCACTAATAGCAACCCTACATAGAGTTTCTGAGGAGCAACTGGTAGGTTTGAACTGCTAAACTTTTGGTTAATAGTCCACTGCTTATCTTACAGTACCACACCAGTACTCCTAATCTTTGTAGACTACTTAATGTGGCAGTTTACTTCCAGGTGAATGTTTTTTTTTTTCCTCCTCGGCTGTGTGCCCTTCATAAAGATAAACATTAAGTATATACAAATACTCAAATTCTGTCATATGCCAAAAGAAAATACCTTTTTGTAACTTAGATTGCTATTGTGTTAAATTACTATTTAATTTTGGGACAAATTATATTTTACAATTGAAACTTTATAACTATGTCTGACTCATTACTTAAGTTGTCTTTACATATGTCCATGGAGATATTTAAGGAGCCCTGATAGCATAGTGGGTTCTGAGGTGGACTGCTAACTACAAGGTCAGCAGTTCATATCTACCAGTTGCTCTGCAGAAGAAAGATGAGGCTTTCTGCTCCGATAAAAATTTACGGCCTCTGAAATCCTATGCAGGGTTGCTATGAATGAAAACTGACTGGTCATGAAGGTATTTATTTATGTAATTTAGCTTTGAACTTTATTGCTGAGTTTATTTCTAACTGTTTTGCATTTACATGCTATTGTTTTCTAACTGTTCTTTTAATATATGTATATATTGTTTTGTTGTTGTTGTTGTTCAGTAAGGAGCCCTGGTGGCACCATGGGTTAATCATTGGGCTGCTTAACTTAAGGTCAGCAGTTCAAACTAACCAGGCTATTCCTTGGGAGAAAGATGAAGGTTATTTGTTCCCGTAAAAATTTATAGTCTTGGAAACCCTAAGGAGCAGTTACTCTCATCCTATAGGTTTGTTCTAGGTCAGAATTGACTCGATGGCAGTGTTCAGTATCTGATTCTTGGTAGTATAGGAAAGGTACTGATTTTTTGTATATTTCATAGCAGACCACTTTACTGAATTCTGATTGTCATACCAGTGACCAATTGATAATTTTGCCTAGTTCATTCCAGCACATATACTTTATAATTTATGCTAATATATTTTATGCTCTGATGTAAGTACACTGGCTAATACTTCCAAAAAAATGTTAAATGATAATACCTAGCATTTTTGCAATATTGTTTACTGTCTTGGGAATGAGAGTATTTTATCATATATAGAAGGGATATTATGAAGGCGATCATATAGTTTTTCTTCTATTGACCAATGAATGTGGTTATAAGACTAGAATCGATAATATTAAACCACCCATCACCACCAGCACTACCAGTTGCCTTCGAGTCAACTCCAACTTAACAACAACTTGAATCACCAGTGTATTGCTAAGTGAACTGCATTTGACTATTGTAGGTCTTTTGTTTAACAAGGTTTGATCCTATCAGCTGCTCCACAGGAAAAAGATGTGGCTTTCTCCTCCCTCAAAGATTTAAAGCCTCAGAAACCCACATAGGGTTACCGAGTCGGAACCGAGTTCACAGCTCTTAGCAACAAGAACAACATATGAGGTCCTGGTGTGGTGTTGTAGGATAAGCCTTGGACTGCATGATCAGTGGTCCAAACCCATGGCCCGTTCTTCAGAAACCCTTTACAGGGTTAGTATGACTCTGAACTGACTTAACAGCACTTAACAACAACAGACTGTATACTAATACTTAAAATTTTTGCCTGTCCATATAAAGTTGAGGATTAGTTTTGAGATCATCTCAAGAAGAGATTTGTTGCATTAGATACCAAAGACTAGAAGAGTTGTGGAATGACATCAAGAACACCAGACAGGAAGAAAGCAAAAGGTCATTAAGAATAAAGAAGGTGGTGGTTATGTGCCGTGGTGTTGGTTCCGACTCATAGCGACCCTGTACAGGGTTTTCGAGGGGAAAGACCAGAATGAATGTCAGAAGAGCCCCCTAATATTTGCTCTCCAGTGTTGAAATGCTAAAGCAAATTGAAGAAATGAGGAGGTAAAAGAGCTGACCAGAATATTTCAAAAAGCAGATTGAGAAGACAAAGTTAAGTATTATAATGGAATGTGCAAAAAACCTGGAGTTAGAAAACAAAAAGAATTTCTCAAGCTGAAAGAACTGAAGAAAAAATTCAAGCCTTAACCTGAAATATTGACAGATTCTATTGGCGAAAAAATTGGAGTCCTGGCATGGTGCTGTAGAATAAGCACTGGACCACAAGATCAGTTTGAACCACAAGGTTGGTGGTTCAAACTCATCAGCCATTCTTGGAAAGCCTATACAGGGTACCTATGACTTGGAACTGACTCAGTGGCACTTAACAATAACAACAATGGGCATAATATTGAGTAATGCAGAAAGCCTCAACAGAAGATGGAAGAGAGACACAGAGTCACTGTACCAAAAAGAAATGGAAGAAGTTGAACCATATTAATAGAAAGCATATTATGAAGTGGTCCTGAAGGAAGAAGGAAATGCACTGAAGGTATTGGCACTGTACAAGGCTCTGGAAATTGATGGAATACAAATTGAAATCTTTCAGCAAACTGATGCAGCACTGGAAGTGCTCACTCATCTACGTCAAGAAATTTGGAAGACAGCTACCTGGGCAGCTGATTGGAAGAGATACATATTTGTGCCCATTCCAAAGAGAAGTGACCCAATGGAATGTGAAAATCTTTGGGTAGTGTCAGTAATATCACATACAAGTAAATTTTTTGCTAAAGAGAATTTAAAAATAGCTGCAACTGTACACTGACAAAGAACTGCCAGAGGTTCAAACCAGATTCAGACAAGGATGTGGAAGGAGGGATATTGTTGATGTCAGATGAATCTTGGCTAAAAGCAGAGAATACCAGAGATGTTTTTACCTATGTTTTACTGACTATGGTAAGGCTTTTGGCTATGTGGATCATGACAAGCTATGGACAGCATTGTGGAAAAAGTATTGTGGAACACTTAATTGTGCTCATGAGGAACCTGTACATGGATCATGACACAGTTGTTTGAAAGAATAAGAGGACACTTAATGGTATAAAATTAGGAAAGATGTGTACCAGGGTTGTATTTTTTTTCCATACTTATTCAGTCAGTATGCTGAGCAAATAATCCGAGAAACTGGATTGTATGAAGAAGAACATGGCATCAGGATTGGAGGAAGACCCATTAATAACCAGCGATATGCAAATGATACAATCTTGCTTGCTGAAAGTGAAGAGGACTTAAAATACTTATTGATGAAGATCAAAGACTACAGCTTTCAAATTGGATTGCACCTCAATGTAAAGAAAACAGAAATCCTCACCACTGGACCAGTGAATGACATTATGACTAATGAAGAAAATACTGAAATTGTTAAAGACTTCATTTTGTTTGGATCCACTATCAACACTCATGGATGCAGCAGACAGGAAATCAAATGACAAACTGTATAAGGCAAACATGCTGCATAAGACCTCTTTAAAGTGTTGAAGAGAAAGGATGTCAGTTTGAGGACTAAGGTACACCTGACCCAAGCCATGGTGTTTTCAGTAGTTTCATATGCATGTGAAAGTTGGACAGTGAATAAGGAAGACCATGGAAGAATTGATACATGTGAGTTACAGTGTTGGAGAAGAATACTAAAAGTACTATTGACTGCCAGAAGAACAAACAAATCTGTATTGGAAGAAGTACAGCCAGAATGCTCTTTAGAAGCCAGGATGGTGAGACTTCATCTCTTATACTTTGGACATTTTATCTGGAGGGATCAGTCCCTGAAAAAGGAAAGGACATGATGCTAGGTAAAGTGGAAGGTCATTGAAAAAAGAGGCAGACCCCCAGTGAGATGGATTGGCAGAGTGGCAGTAGTACTGGGCTCCAGTTTAACCACAATTGTGAGGCTGGTGCAGGACCAGGCAGTGTTTCATTCTATTGTACATAAGGCTGCTTTGAGTTGGAACTACTCGATGGCACCTACCAACAACAACAGCATAAAGAAAGCTGGTCAAATTTTGAACGAGATTACATTGAATCTGTAGATCACATCTTAGCAGTATTGTCTTTCAGTCCATGCACATGGAAACCAATGCTTGTTACACAGAAATGTGAGCCCATTTGTTCTAAGACTACAATTTTTTAAGAGAAACCATGAATCCAATGTAAACTAGTAAACTAGTAAAAAAAAATATTTGCAACTAATTAAAAAATCTTAAATCACATGTAGGCTCAATCCAGTTTATGGTCTGCTAGATTATGATCTCTGCTGTATATGTATAATTTTTTCCCTTTTAATTTATATTGCTTTGAAAGTCATTCATTCCAGAGTGTGACTCAACATGTATGTCCAGTGCCTCATACGCAATACGTTTTATTCATACTTAATTTAAAGTTTTATACTCTCTCTCTCTCTTTTTAAAGGTATTCGATGCAGGAAATGTATGATATAGTATCAAGAGTTGAACATTACAAGCATTTTGTTCCTTGGTGCAAAAAATCAGATATAATATCAAAGAGATCTGGATACTGCAAAGCACGATTAGAAATTGGGTTTCCACCTGTGTTGGAGCGATATACATCAGTAGTAACCCTGGTGAAGCCACATTTGGTAAAGGTAATAGTTTTGTTGTTTGTTGTTTTTAAATATTCCCCCAAATGTTCACAGTATCAAATTTTACACATTAATATGATAGTTTAACAAGATTTCCCTAACCTACTGGAGGGAAAAAAGAAAAAAGTCTAAACCATTTCCTATAACTCCTAGTGGTATTATTTTATACAGCATTAAGATTATTCTTTCCAAATAGTACTTTACTAGAAAATAAAAATGCAAAGTTTCCTTTTTTACCTTTTGTTGAGGACTTCTGAACCACAGAAAAAAAATCACTTCTAGGCCACACACATCTGAGAACGTTTTAGTTATTCTGTTGCATCGTCTTAAAATAAAATATTAAATGCTTTACCGTTGGGGGAAAATGAAATGACACATATTGTTGTTAAGTGCTGTTGAGTTGGTTGCAACTCATAGCGACCCTGCATAAGGTTTCCGAGGAACAGCTGGTGGGTTTGAACTGCTGACCTTGTGGTTTGCAATCCAGTGCCACACCTTGAGTCCAAAGGACAGATAAGATATTGTTTAATAGATAACATAGTGTTTTAAGTTGAAGAGAAAGTAGTGAGAGGATGAGAAAGTTAGAAAAGATATAAATGTGAAGAGCATTAACATTGTTGAGTTTGTACTGCAGTGAGAATAAACATGTAGCAAAGATACCCAGATTTACACAGAAAGTCAAAATTCATAGAAAAATACCCATTTCTTTCTAATTCCTGAGTTTGGTGGTAGTAGATGACATTTAAAACTGAGTTATATATTTGTACCCACAGGACTAAAAGGTGATAACCATTTCTTGGTAATTGGCGCAGATTAAATGCCTTGTCAGATCTTACTTAGTATGAGTTGAAAGGCGTGCAACTCTTACAACAAGAATCTGCCGTCCAGTTAAACTAAGACTCTGTAGTTTGTCCTGTTCTTTTACTCTCAAAACTTGAACTCCACTTACAATTCTGTAGATTCTGTAGCCCTCTCTGGGACCTTGTCATATTAAAACTATTTTCACCTGTTTGTTCTTCGTTTTGGAATTTTTAACTACTACGCTTCTCGGAAACCCTATACAGGGTCGCTATGGGTTGGAATCAACTTGATGGCACTTAACAACAACAACAACGCTGAACTGCAAGGAGCTCTGGTAGCATAGTGGTTACCAGTTGGGCTGCTAACCACAGGTCAGCAGTTTGAAACTACCAGCAGTTCCGTGGGAGAAAGATGAGGTTTTCTGCTTCTGTAAAGATTTACAGCCTTGGAAACACTGTACAGGGTTGCTATAAGTCAGAACCAACTCCATGGTACATAACCATCACCACCACCACACTGAGTTGCAGGAGGCCTGGTGTGACACTATGGGTTAATGTGCTGGACTGCAAAGTCAGTTTGTACGGCAAAGTTGGCGGTTCAAGCTCACCAGCTGCTCCTTGAAACCCTATACAGGGTAGCTATGAGTCAGAACCAACTCAATGGCACTTAACAACAATAAGGAACTGCCTCTCATATGATTAGCGTTTATTAGGCCCTTATAAATACTTTACTTGAATTATGCATGTAATTTCCACAACTCTTTGAGGTTCATGCATTATTATTCTTCACCTTATAGTTGAATAAACTAAGGCTCAGAAGAGTTAAATAAGTTGCCTAAGGTCATGTTGCTAACAACAGAGCCCAGATTCCAGTTTAGTTTATCTGATACCATTGACTATCTCTGTAATCTTAAATTCTTATTTTCTGTTCTCTGAGCTCAAGCTCTTGTAACTTTAATCTTAGTGTATAATACCGCTTTTTTCTAGACCTCTGAAAAATGTCATTTTCTTTCCAGATTTTTTTCCCTTGGCTTCCCAGCACTTCCTAGGATAAAGTCAAACTCCATAGCATTGCACACAGAGCATATACAAAGAGGCTTCAGAAAGTTTGTGGAAAAGTAGAATGAAAAGATAATGGAATTTCTCCACAAACTTTTTGAAGTCCTCTCAATCTTCTCTTTGCTTCCTATCTCCACACCACACTTCATATTCAGACAGTACTATAAATCTAAAAATTAACTGAGGATAGTGCACTAGTATATTCCACAACTCTGTGCCTTTATTATTCCTTCCTTTACTTGTAGTGTTCTTAACTCTTGTTTATGAATCTTTTAACCCAGATGTTTGTATCACTTTTTACCTTTTCATTTATATAGCACGCTTACCTCTGTTATTCCTCTGGGCTATATTTACTTTTCTTATCATTTGGTATTTTAATTTATTTGTTCAATTGAACTTCTTGACAAGATTGAATCCCTTAAAGGACGGACCTGTCTTTTTTGTCTTTGTATCCCTATTACCAATATTACTAGTACTATATTAATGAAGTCAAGGAGCCTCCTGAACCATAAAGGCCTCATTCCCTCATGCCCTGACTTACGATGGTAGTTCCATTTTGATGATTCCGACATAAGTTGGTTCTGATGTAAATCAAGCACCTCAATTCCTTTTTTTTATGAAGTTTTTATTATTGTTGCCTTTTATTATCAGTATTTCCATTTTTTCATTATTACTGGATTTTATTATTAGTATTTATATAAAAATGATCTTTATTTGCCTTTGGAGATTAAAAATATTACATATAAATTTATAGCTATATTTAGATAAAGATATATTATAAAAATATAGATACATTTCTATGTATGCCAGGAACTCTGGCAGTATAGTGGTTGCAAGTCGGGCTGCTAGCCTCAAGGTCAGCAGTTTAAAACTACCAGCTGTTCCGTGGGAGAAAGATGAGGCTTTCTGCTCCCATAAAGATTTACAGCCTTGGAAACCCTATACAGGGTCTCTATGAGTTGGAACCAACTCCACAGCACACCATCACCTTTATATACATATATAAAAACATACATGAATCATACACATTAGCTCTAATGATGAAGAGTTGGATGCTGTTGGCATTTTACTAGTTGTAATAGGTCCACTGTGGAAGGTCTGGATCACCTGGATTATCCCTGTGATTGGGGGTGGCCTTCCTAGTAAGTAATTAATGAGAGTTGTCTGTATGTTTCATTCTTTCTTTCTTCATGTATTTCATGGTAGCATTGCAGTACCACCTGAATCTGTCGATAGCAAAGTGGTCAACATTTGGGTCCATGTTTTTAAGCAACTGAAGCTCTTGATTTAGTTTATAAAACTAAATCTGTGTGGCAGTGTTTTGAACAAGTACATCATTAAATTGAACATCTGGTATGATAACATAAGCAAATGACACGCTGTAACATTGTATGTAGTACATGTTACGGACTGTAAAATATACAACAAAACAAAATGAACAGTCTTAAGTACAGATCATCTTAACTCAAATGTATAGTAAATTGAAAACTACCTGTATTTTTAGATTATTGCAAATCTAGAGATGTTCATAATTTCTGAGAAGCTTGCAACATTGTTCAGTAGAGAAGAAATAGTGCTAGGAAAAAAAGTAATAATCTTCACACTAACCTATGTTAGATGAGAGTTGCTGTATCAACTTTATGATGCTTCTTGTTGTTGTTACTAAGTGTCATCCAGTTATTTCCAATTTATAGTGACCCTGCCTGTATAGGGTTTCCAAGGAGCCAACCTTTGGGTTAGCAGTGCAGTTCTTATCCGATATCACCACACCAGAACTCTATGAGGTTTAGGTGGTTTAAGAACTTGGCACAAAGTCTTCTATATTTGACTAGTTCTAAATATTTTTTTTCCATTAAAAGCTCTATCACTTAATGTGCCAATTTACTATTTAAAGATATATTTGAGAATAACTAAACTGTATCTTACTTATCTAATACTGTTATAACAGGAATACTGCAAGTGGCGGGTAGCTTTAACATATAGGCTGCAAGTCTGAATTCAGGGTACCAGCTATAGGGGGAAAACTTTTTCTCTCTGTTGGCTCTAAAGGAAGGTTCTTGTCTTTTAGAGCTTCTTCTGCTCCAATGAGATCTTCCTGTGACTTGACATTTCTCTGCCCCCATCTCTGCTCTCTGATTTACTTATTTAATCTCTTTGTATTTTAAAGAGATTCACACCACACTAATCCTGCCTCATTAACATAACAAAGACAACCTGTTGCCAAATGGGATTATAACCACAGGCATAGAGTTTAGAATTCATAACATTTTTTGGGTGGGGGGACAGGACGGGTCAGACATACACACAATTCAATCCATAATACTATGCAGAGGGTGCTTCAAAAATTGGTTTTTTGAAAAAATTCCATTATCTTTTAATTCCATCTTTCCATGAACTTTTTGATTTGAAACCCATTCATATATTCAGCTTTCAATTGTCCCTGGACTAAGGTCCTGGATTATTGCCTAATGTGCATATTTAACACATACTAAAAATCTCGACTAATGGAACATCAGAAGCTATCTGATATTTTCCATGTATTATTTTCTAAACTGTACTTGTGACTTAATGTTTTAGCAATTCTAGTGGACGCTAGTCTGTAATAGCTAGAAGCCTGGGAAAGTTTTTGGCATATTTAATAGAGGCAACATATAGTATGAATTTAATGTTAAGTGACCCTTGCTGCCTTGTTTACAATGTGAGCGTTTAGTAGAGAATTATTTCTTTGATTTGTTTGTTCAGAACACCCAGTAGGCCATTATCTTAACAGCTACTACTATGTTCAAGGAGCTCTGGTAGCGTAGTGGTTACAAATCGGGCTGTGAGCCATAAGGTCAGCAGTTCGAAACTACAAGCTGTTCCGCGGGAGAAAGATGAGACTTTCTGCTCCCGTAAAGATTTACAGCCTCAGAAACCCTGTCTGTGCAGGGTCACTATGAGTTGGAACCAACTCCACGGCACATAACCACCACCACCACCACCACCACCACTATATTCAGTATCCTTTCCTGTTAAGCATGAAGTCTTTGGCATTATTATTCTTATCCAAACATACTAGAAAAATCCATAGATCTCCAGACTAGATGATCATCAGTATGAATACAATGCTGCCACATTTTGTGTTAGGTATGCTTAGAGGAGTCATGGTGTGGTGCTGTGGGCTAGTGTGTTAGACTGCAAAGTCATTTGAACTGCATGGTCGGTGGTTCAAGTGTACCAGCTGCACCTTGGAAGCCCTATACAGGGTCACTGTGGGTCGGAATCGACTCGACAGTACTTAACAACAACAACAACCTCTTATTGTATATTGCCTTTCTCTTCACCCAGGTTAACATGTGTTACCACCATGCCAGTGATGTTGGTTAACTTTTAGAAATAGATCTTCCTAGTGTGTCTGAATTCTGTCTACCATGGATGACTTAACTGGTATTTGATAATAATGGTAGCATAGCTTCTAGCATCATAACAACATGCATTTCTCTACAGTAGGAAAAGCTGACAGGTGGGCGTTATAATTGATCCAAAAGGATTAGATTTCGAGGAAGTTAAGAACAAAACTATGAGTAGATTTTTAGTTCTGTGGATCCCAGTTGTATTTATCTGTGGCAAGATCAGAAGTTAGTAGGAGAAATGATCCTAGGTTTTGTGTTTAGGAAGGCTAATGCTGGGGAAGGAAAAGTGACTGTTTACCTTTGGGGGAAAATAGATTACATATATACAAGTCCTTTAAGTCACAAGTCATTATTGAAAGCACCATGGATTTCCAGAAGAACAAACACTTGTCTTAGAAAAATTACAACCAAAATGCTCCTTAGAAGTGAGGACGGGAGAGACTTTGTCTCATGTACTCAGGACGTGTTATCAGGAGAGACCAGTCTCCAGAAAAGAACCTCATGCATGGTAGTGTAGCAGGTCATTGTAGGGAAGGAAGACTCTCAAAGAGGGGGATTCACACAGTGGCTGCAACAATGAACTTGAACCTAACAATTGTCAGACTGACTCAGAACAGGGCAGTGTTTCTCTATTGTTTATGAAGTCATTGGGCAGCAACAGCAGTCATATACAGATCATTATTTTGCTAATTTATACCTGTAGGGATTTCTATAGCTTTATGGGAGGAACAAGCTAAACTTTTGAGAGGAATAAGATATCAAAGAGAAGTAGTAGCATAGAGGGACTTAATCATTTATTAGCCTGTTTATGCCAAAAGAACTGAAATTTTTAAGACTTAATAGCTGAGGATCTATAAAGTTGGTCTGCTACTGAGAGTAATAAGAATCTTTGAGGATACTTGCCTACTGGTGTGATAAGGCCCAAATAGCATCTTGGATCAAATAAGTAAATAAGCTAAACTTCACTCAAAAGTTATCGTAGTGGTTACGAATCGGGCTGTGAACCACACGGTCAGCAGTTCGAAACTACCAGCTGCTCCGTGGGAGAAAGATGAGGCTTTCTGCTCCTGTACAGAGTTACAGCCTCGGAAACCCTGTACAGAGTCGCTGTGAGTCGGAACCGACTGCACAGCACATCAGAACAACAACAACTGTTTTTTAGACTACAGGTGACAGCCCTATAGCAGATCTCAATCAGCATTTTTTTTTTTTTTTTAGTGATATAGAATGGGAAATACCAAAATCCATTGCACCTAATATGACTATTGTGTTTCAGTGTGGAGACATGTATAAAATACACATCATAGATTAGAAAGAAATAGGTAAGAGCTCAGGGTTGTGCCAGACTGTCAAGAAAATGGAGCCATAAGAGACCTATGGAATAAAGAGTGAAAGGTCGACTAAATGTGATTGTCCCTTGTATACAAATATTTTCTCTGAATATAGAATTATCCTAGGGACCTGTGCTGGTACTTTACAGACTCTTTAGTCACTTCACAGTGATGTATAACATAGGCTTTATACTTATTTTACAGATTAAGGAAATGTGGTACAGAGTAATTGTTCAGGATTAAAATAAAAGTGGCATAGCTGGAAAATCACTTAAAAGTGTTTAAAAGCAGCAGATGCTGAAATAAAATCACTCCGTTTTATTCTTGGAGGAGAAAGAGATTCAAGTAGCTCAGTGAGTAGTAAGAGTGAAGAGAGAACAGCTGCTAGTCTTCGGGTGGTGGGGGTGGGGTCCCAGGACAATAGAAAAAAAGCTTATATTGCCAAGAGATTGCTTCCTGATATTAAGCTTAAAAATGTCCTAGGGCGACCACAAGGTTGCTTCATCACCTCTGGTCATCCTATGAAAATTATTTACTTTTCAAAGAAATTCTTAATCATGGTAGATTATAGCCAATATCAAGTGGTATTTTACTGTGGTTTTATTTTTTAATTTTGTTCTAGGCATCCTGTACAGATGGAAGACTTTTCAATCATCTGGAAACTGTTTGGCGTTTTAGCCCAGGTCTTCATGGCTACCCAAGAACTTGTACCTTGGATTTTTCAGTAAGTCTCTTGTAAAGTCCTTGATTTGTTCCAAATATCTTCAGAAGAAGGATTAATTCACTTAGTAGAATGTAACTGTCATAATTAATTTTATGTGTTTAGTAATTACTGTAATACTTACAATGTCTCACATTTCTGAGTCTTGAATATTTTTTTGCACTGACACCCTAGGAAAGAATGGTTTCATGAACTTTTTTTTTCTACTTTATTTTTTATAATCTTGAAATTCATTCCTTTTGTATTCTCATCTTTATAAGTTAGAATATTGTAAGATACATGCCATCACTACCTAATATCACTTAACATTGACAGTTTAATGACACCAAATTAAATCTATAATTGATTATATGATTCAGAAATTAGATATGTAAAAAGAAAAAAAAGTGTTTTTAGAATTTGAGTACTATAGTATTTTTTGTGTTCACATTACCATTGTTGTTGTTAAGTGCTGTCCAGTTGGTTCCCATTTATAGTGATCCTTTATAAGGTTTTTAAGGGCAGCTGGTGGGTTTGAACTGCTGCTCTTGCAGTTAGCAGTCCAGTGCTTACCCTACAGTACCTCTGTTATTACAACTATAAAGAACTTGAAGCAACTTTGGCATTTTCTTTCTCTTGTAATTGTTTTGAAACTTATTGTGAATTGAGTGAAGATTTGCAGACAGTATCATCAATTCTACATTCAACAAATCATAAATTTGTTTCATCTTAATGATTGCAATCTCCTCCCTGCAACAACAGTTATTCTACTTCCTCTCTATGGTTCTTATTTCCATTCTACTCCTCTTCTCAAACCTTCTCAACTTTGTCCTTAGATAAATGTTGCCCTTTTGATCTTGAACATTGACCTTCTTACTTAGGTTACTAATCTTACTAATGTTGTTGTTCTCCTTATAAACTTTTCTACTGCTTGGCTGAAAATTGGGCTACGAAGTGAGTTCCATTCCAGACCTGTAGGGTGGCCATGGGTCATAGTCTCAGGTTCTTTCAGTCTCTTTCTAATCTGTAAGCCCAACCGTTTTTATATTTTTTTGTTCCACACTTTTTCCCACTCTATTCAGAACCTTCTAATGTGACCTCTTTTAGAGCAGTTAGTGGTGGTAGCTGGTTATCATCTAGTTCTTCTGGTCTCTGGGTTGTGAAGACTGATGTTCATGTATTCCATTAATACATTGGACAAATTGAATCTAAGTGTCTTCGATTTCTATCACTTTTCTTTGCATGTGGAGAGGTCAATAGTTAATTGTACATTAGATGGCATCTCATGTGCCGCTATGAGTTGCAACCAACTCAGTGACACTTAACAACATGGACAGAGTCTAATTGTTCCATAGGGTTTCCAAGGTTGCAAGGTCGGCAGTTCAAACTCACCAGCTGCTCCTTGGCAGACCTATGTAGGGTCGCTATGGGTCAAAACCGATTCAATAGCACTTAATAACAACAACAATCTGTATGTAAGTAGACTGCCATGTCTTTCTTCCACAGAGCAGCTGGTGGGTTTGAACTACTGACTTTTCAGTTAGTAGCTAATCATTTAACCATTGCATCACCAGGTCTTCTTAGAGTCAGAAGTACAAGAAGTTGTTAGTACCAACTCACTCTTAAAATTCCTGATTTTGATGATTTTTCTGTAGTTCTATAAAGCCAACTGCCATGGAGTTGATTCCAGCTCATAATGGCCTTTTACAGGGTTTCTGAGACTAAATCTTTACAGGCACAGACAATCTCATCTTTCTCTTGCAAAGCACCTAGTGGATTTGAACCACCATTACCATTCCAATGCCAAACCCAAAGATGTTAATATAGGGTAATCTGAGTGATGGTATAAATATTACTTTTATTATTTAGCAACTTGTGTAAATCATTGAGTACTGTCGAACCACGTACCTTTGCTTTGTGGATCAGGCATGAGTGTGCTTGCACATAGTCTCTTATTCCTGTTGATGCTGCTACCCATGGGAATTCCAGTCAGACGGATCACTCCCTTTTTCTTTTTTACTTTTGGGGGTTGAATGAATGTAAAACCAAACCAACCATACTCACTGCATCGAGTTGAATCTAATTCATAGCAACCCTGTATAGGGTTTCCAAGGCTATAAATCTTTATGGGAGCAGAAAGCCTCATCTCTCTCTCCAGAGGAACAGCTGGTGGATTTGAACTGCCGGCCTTGTGGTTAACTGCTCCTACAGCGCCACCAGGACTCCTTTGGATATAAATGTTGTTTGTTGTTATGTGCCATCTAGTCGGTTCCGACCCATAGCGACCCTGTATAGGGTTTCCGAGGGTGTAAATCTTTACGGGAGTAGAAAGCCTCATCTTTCTCCCGCGGAGCAGCTGGTAGTTTCGAACCGCTGACCTTAAGGTTCGCAGCCCGATTTGTAACCACTACGCTACCAGAGCTCCTTTTGGATATAAATAGAGACACATTAATAAACCAGAATGAGAAATGTGGCATTCAGCAAAGCATTTCCCAGGTTTCTTTAACTTATTGAGCAGACTCTCTGCCTTGAGCTTTGTTTACTTTATTGTGCTTACTGCATTAGACTCCCTCTTCTGAAGGGTGCTGAAAAGCTCACCTAGACACACCCACAATGCTCTATGTTAGATACTGGCCAACTAACCCAATTCATCTATCCTAAGTGGAGATGCAGTAAACAGTCTTCCTAAAATAATGTTTTCTTACAGATTTCATTTGAATTTCGCTCACTTCTACACTCTCAGCTTGCCACCCTCTTTTTTGATGAAGTTGTAAAGCAGATGGTAGCTGCCTTTGAAAGAAGAGCATGTAAGCTGTATGGTCCAGAAACAAATATACCTCGGGAATTAATGCTTCATGAAGTTCATCACACATAAAAGGAAAAAAGAACTGGTATCACTTATTTATAACTGTGTTCACTTTTAGAAGTGCTTTCATTATTTGCTTTCACAGTCAAGAAGCATTTATAAAACCCAGCCTTGATTATAAACCTGCACCATTGAACATTTGCACATAGAATATGGAACAATGTGTACGTACAACTATTTCTTCAATCAAGCATAATTCAGAGTATTATGTACATTAGCATGTTCTGCATTTACAATAATGAGATGTCATCACTCTTTGTAGAATACTGGTATCTCTTTTCTGAGCAGAATTTGACCTGTAAATTTAAACCTTTAATCATCACCTACCTGAAAGAGGTTAGTTGAAATATTCATGCAGTATGGCTTATATTAACCATATCATGTTTAAGTTATTAAATTCAGAATCTTTGTAACTTATTGCTATAGGACCTGCCCCCTGTCTTAGGATGTTTGAGTAACCGTCAGATATTTAAAGTAGAACTTTGACTTAAAAATACTTTTAATGAAGGTTCCTGGGCACTTAAGATATTTAAAAATTGTTCTTATGGGTGATAGTAGAGAATTCCATGTGATAGTTAGGTTTAGTGCCCAGATAAAGACCAAATACTTTTCTTGGTGAGTGGTCCAGAGCTTTAAGCTACTTTTTAGTAGTTTGCAACCTTCTTCTAGGTACTTTGAGTGCTCTTTGAATAATGCTAATTGTGTCAAATTTTGTCTACAAGAGTAGGTAACAGATGAAGATAAGTTGGTCTCCAGTACCAGGCATCCCTAATTTTCTATTTATTGTATGTACTCACTTCCAATAATGTATTTCAAGCTGTTGTTTTTTAAAAAGCAAATCAATGTAAGGACTGAAGTGGTAACTTTAATAAAGCTAATTTGTTTAAATTTTTTGTAGTTATTTGATTATTGAAAGATTGCTTCCATGTTGCAGTTATTAGCATTTCGTTCAGAGTTGGACAACACTTGATCTTTCTTTAAGAACCCATGTGTCCTCCTTCCTCTATACACAACTCTTTGGCACACTTAGTAACTAGTTCCTTAGTAAATGCATGTGTACAAAAAAAAACCCCAAGTTTGAAATACCGTATTGAAAGTGAGTACATAAATAGCTGTCTGCTAAATGTCAGGTACATTGTGATTTATATATATAATCATACATACATATATATATATATATTAATCATACACTCAGGAAGCCTGTTCCTCAAAATTGCTGTTGAGGTTAGGTGCCATTGAGTAGGGTACAAACTCATAGTGATCACAACAAAAGGAAACACTGCCCAAAAGGTTCTGCACCAACTTCACAATCATTGTTATGCTTGAACCCACTGCTGCTGCCACTGTGCCAATACATCTCGTTGGGTGTCTTTCTCCAACCCTCCACTTTACCAAGCATGATGTCCTTCTGGATCCAAGGACTGGTCCCTCCTGATAATATGTCCAAAGTGTGACAGACATATCCTGGCACAGAACAAGCATTCTGGCTGCTTGTCTTCCAACACAGGTTTATTCTTTTGTCAGTCCATAGTACTTTTTTTTTTTTATGGAAAAAATTTATGTTTAGAATTAGCCATCTGGACTCAGTTTAGATGTTTTGATGGCAACATCCAAAGCATCATACTCTGCAACCAGTCAGACAGAGGCCTTCTCTCCATTAAGAGAAACAAGCTTGACCTCTAAGCCACTAAGTTCCTTCTGAGTACTGTCACACTTGTGTTCGTTGCCATTCAATGGCACCAGCTCAAACAGGATGTTAAGTTCTAAGGCACTGACTTAGCCAGTCAACACCTTGATCAGGCCTAATAAAGAAAAGGCGGCGTTATGTTCAACTGCTTCCTGACTATGATGCTTAGGATATTGCTAATAATATTGGGCTCATCTAAAGTGAGTCCTGGGGTGCCATTGTGGGCTGAGGCGCTAGGCTGGCAAAGTTGGTTTGAATGCCAAGTTGGCAGTTCAAGCTCACAAGCCACTCCATGGAAACCCTACGAAGGGTCATTATGGGTCAGAACCAACAGCTAATGTCCATCAACAGAATGGTTAAACTTTAGTACATACAATGTTGAGGAATAACGAATCCTACATACCTAATAACATGAATGAACCTGGGAGACATTATGGAGTGAAATTTAAATGTTGTCATTTTGACTCATAACTACCCTGCATAGGGTTTCTAAGGAGGGGTTGGTGAGTTTGAACCACATACCTTACAATCCAGTGCTTATCCTCCAGCACACCAGTGCCCTGGAGTGAAATTAGCCAACCACAAAAGGGCAAATATTGTTGAGTCCAATGTTATAAAATATTAAAAGCTTTTCATAATTAACAATCTGATGGTAATTGGGGTGAGGGAAAATTCATGTACTAGAGGGGTAGCTATATGCTAACATGGGTAACATGGCAGGTAATACACAAGATGGAGGTTAGCAGAGGATGAGTGGGAGACACAGGGAAGAACACTAGTTAAATGAATAGAAGTGTACACTGCAAACTGATGGTACTCAGAGGGTACAGTCTGTAAAGAAACAAAGTATAGGACTTACTGAATGTAAACACTTATCTGCTATGTAAACCTTTACTCAATTCAGTTAATTAAAAAAAAAAGTCAAGCTTCCAAACTATTATAAAGTACATTTAACTAGGGCATTTTCCTTATTACCAGTAATTTGCTTAAACAAAAAAATAGACCACTCACAACTATATCTAGCAAACCATGTAAGTATTTACGTCACTGGCATGCCATTCTTCCACAGTACACATCTGAAGTGACATGCTTTCCTCACTTGAGTAACCAGCAGGAACCTGTACCCTTGGTTTATTATGCTGGAGCTTTGGAGCAGTAACAACAGCTTCCACAAGAAGTTAACAGAATGCCTTTTTATGACCAGGCCTTCATACAGTATTTATTATTGCCACAAGATTCATCAAGGTTGTCATCTTCTTTTAAGATTTGCCAATGTAATTATGTAATAATAGTCTGCAACAAGGAAACAAAATACTACAGGTGGATTGTTTTATGTATGAGTCAGTACCCCTTTTCAATTGGCTTTCATTTCTCAATTCTGCTAAATCATGGACAAGTTTTAAAACAATGGACTTTAAACAAGTTTTTATTACACAAAGGTCACATAATTGGTTATTTCTCTACTCTGTACACAATTATTCTTACTCTCCACAGAAAGGCTGCTTCTTTACTTCTCATCTAGTGATGGCAAGCACTAAAATCCTGATTTTAACAGAATAGTAGTAAAAATGCCTCAGTGATTTACGCTGAAAGCAGTACATTGGTAATGGCTCTTGCACCCAGTATCAGGAATGTACAAATGTCTTTTTATTCAAAAATACAAAATAAATTATCTGTAGGCATGGACAATGACAGCAGTAAACCATTACATATTATCAACTGAAACCAGTAACTGATGGTTATAAGTGATTTTCTTAAAACATCAGCCAGCCTTTTCTTCAGACATTTTCTTCTCTTTAAATGACTTCTCTGACGTTATTGGTGAGGAACACTGCCTTCAGCTTCCTGTCACAGTTCACTGATAAATGGTAAAGCACTATTCTAGGAACTAGAACATGCCACCTCCCATACCTCCCATACCACCTCCCATTCCACCCATTCCGCCCATGCCAGGGTCCTTCTCTTCTTTGGGAATTTCTGTTACTACAACTTCTGCTGTGGTTAACAGGGAGGCCACTCCAGCAGCATCCAATAAAGCAGTTCTTACAACCTACAAAAAAAAGCGTGGTAAAATATTATTTTTCTCTTAGTAAGAAATTAGATTTGAACTGCTGAGAGACCTTTTAGGATGTGGTCAACTATTTACCTTGGTTGGATCAATGATTCCTTTTTCTACCATATTGACAAAATCTCCAAGCATAGCATCATAACCAACTTCTGAGGAACTTTGCATAATTTTCTCAACTATCAAGGATCCTTCAACACCTGCATTCTTAGCAATAGTCATTGCAGGAATTTTGAGTGTTCTTTTAATAATTTCTATGCCTATAAAGAAAACCAATTTTAGCAAATTAATTTTAGCTCTTTTAAAAGTATTATAATACTATTTCTATTTGTGAAGACAATGACAAAGAAAAATTCCAATTGGAAAATATCATGTATCAAATTGTTGTTGTTATGTGCCATGGAACGTATCAAATTATTCTCCCAAAAATTCAGGGCTACTTTTGTTATTCTGTAAATTGCTTTGTAATTTGTTGGGCAGAAACAGTATTTGTTAGGCCACAAATAAAATTGATTTGTAAAGTAAACTTACCAATTTTCTGATCTTCATTTACTGGAGCTAGTGAGTCCAAGGCTGGAATGCATCGAAGTAGAGCACAACCACCCCCGAGAACAATGCCCTCTTCAACAGCAGCTCGTGTTGCATTGAGGGCATCTGTAACTCTGTCTTTTTTTTCATTCACTTCCACATCACTTGTCCCACCAACCTAAAGATTAGAACAAATGACTTTAATGGATAAGTACTGTACAGCTAACCACAAGGCTGACAGTTCTAATTCACCAGCTGCTCCTTGGAAACCCTATAAAGGGAACCAATTAGATGACACTAACATCTCTATATGTAAGTCAATTTCTTACACATTTGTTTATATACATAGCACTACTGAGAAATGTATCAGAAAATCATTCTTATTCACAATATATCTTACTTTTAGCACAGCAACTCCATCTGAAAGTTTTGCCAGTCGTTCATTCAGCTTTTCCTTTTCATATTCACTAGTTGTGATGTCTAACTGCTCAACGATTTCTTGAATACGTTTTTCAATTTGAGCCTTGTCACCTTTTCCTTTCAAGAGCATGGCATCATCTTTAGTCACAATGACCTCTCCAACTTTTCCTAAGTCATGAGCCTGAACATCTTCAAGATTCAGTGTTAATCCCTCTTCTCCAAATACCTATAAAACCATTAAATAAAAAAAATTAAAAAAAAAAAGCCAGTTAACAGGTAACACAACTATTTTTCACCATTAAGAAGTTTATTATTGACTCAAAGACCATTAAGAGAAAAGAGCACAAGCAGAATGTGAGATCTTATCCAGAGAAGCAGCCAACACCAGAGGACGCTAAGATTCATAAGCAGAGAGGGACTAAGAGCTGGCGGCCAGGAGGCAGACTTGCATTGAATGTGCCCTTTGGTGGTATAAATCATATACGCCTGAGTGTTCAAAAAAAAGGTGCTAAAATTAATAGAAATACTGTTAACTGATTTAATACAAGGAGGGGATTATAATAATTATAATGAAACTAGGTATATGCTTTTTGAACATAAGACTGATGATCTGCTCTGTAAACTTTCACTCTATTCACACACAAAAAAACATTTAAAATAAAAAGGGACAGTAGAATTAAGTGTAAGGAAAGTCTGAAAGAGGAAAAAAACAGACTTTTGTACCAAACAGAATTTCAAATCTCTTTTTTTTTTTTTAGCTAGGTGACCAAGTCACTTAACTTTGAACATGTTACTATTCATGAAAAATGTTCACAGCTACAATCTCACATATGTATTTCATCAAGTTTTTTTGAAAATCAACTGAAATGATGCATATGAAATGTCTATAGTGGTGTATGGCACATAATAGTTGCTCAATAAATGGTAGTTAGCATTTTTTTTTTCTTTAAAGTTTATTCTTACTACATCAAGCAAGGGTTTTGATGAAACAAATGTACTGAAATGTTTATCTAGACTAGGAAATAAAACTAACCTTCAGTAAACAGACAGCACAACATTTATTTTACTTACTGCACCACCAGTAGCAATAGCCATGTCTTTAAGCTGGTTCTTTCTATTGTCACCAAAACCAGGAGCTTTGACTGCTACAACTTGAAGACCAACTTTTAGCCTGTTGAGGATAGTTGATTGTAAGATTTAAGTTTAGTTTTTACAAAGCCTGCTAAAAGGTTAGGATCCCCAACCTTTTCTTTTTCACTTCCTAGCTAATTTTAGTCAAATTAAGACAGGAAAGATATGGTGAAAAAGCTTAATTGCTAAATATTGTATTTAGGGTTCATCCAGCAAACACCACTTCATGGGTTCCATTTAACATTAGATTTAGTTATTATTAAAGCAAAGTTTGAGCAAGTGTAACTTTTCCTATTATACATGAATAGGTATTCTCTCTTTGGAATGGACACAAATATGGATCTTTTCCAACAGGTTGGCCAGGCTGTCTTCCAAATTTCTTGACATAAATGAGTGTGCGCTCCAGTGCTGTTATCAGTTTGTTACAAGATTTCAGTTTGTATTCCATCAATTCTCAGAGCCTTGTTCTTTGCCAGTGCCTTCAGTGTATCCTGGACGTCCTTCGTAGTACCACTGGTTGTTGATCAAATGCTCTCTTGTAATCGCTGAACAATGGTAAATTCCTTTTGGTACAGTGACTCTGTGTATGCTTTCCATCTTCTTTTGACATTTTCTGCATTATTCAGTATTTTGCCTTTGTTGTTGTTGTTAAGTGCTGTCGAGTCGGTTCCAACCCATAGGACCCTGTATATGGTTTCTGAGTAGTGACTGGTGAGCTTGTACCACCTACCTTGCAGTTCAAACAGCTTTGCAATCTGGCACATTAACCCACAGTGCCACACCAGGAATTTGCCTAGGACTTTTGCCTTTAGAATCCTTCAATATTGCAAGTTGAGGCTTGAATTTTTTTCTTCAGTTAGAGAAATGCAAGCATGTTTTTCCCTTTTGGTTTCCTAACTCCAGGTATTTTCAGATTTCATTATACTTGACTTTTGTCTTAAACTGTCCTTTGAAATTTTCTGTTCAGCAATTTAATTTCCTGCATCTCTACTCTGGGGAGCAAGTTACAAAGTCTCTTCTAACATCTACTTTATTTTTTTTCCTACTTTTTGGCTTCTTAATAAACCTTTTGCTTTCTTCATATGTGATGTTCATGATGTCATCTCAGAACTTTCTCATCTTCAGTTATTAGTGTCCAATGCATCAAATCTGTTATTGAGATGATCTCTAAATTCACATGGGATTTATTCAAGGCCGTACTTTGATTCTCATACAACTGTTTTCAGTTTCTTTAGCTTTAGCTTGAACTTGCATATGAGAAATTGATGGTAGGTTTCAGTCTTGCCTTGGCATTGTTTTGGCTGATGACACAGCTTTACCACAGATATAGTCAATTTGATTTCTGTGCGCTCAATCTGTGTTGTGAGGTTCCTGTGCAGTCATCTTAAGTTGTTTAAAAAAGGTTTGCAATGAAACTGCCATTGATCTTTCAAATTCCATCATGCAATCTCCAGCATTATTTCTATCACCAAGACCATATTTCCCAACTACTGATCCTTTCCTTCCTCTGTTTCCAACTACCAATAATTTTTAATACATACTGATTATATGTTTGATCAATTTTAGACAGAAGTTGGCAGAATTCTTCAGTTTCATCATCACAAGCTTTAGTGATGTTAACTGGTCTTTCTTGTAGCTGTATGGATATTAACCAGTCACAGTATTATTTCTCAAGATAGATATGTAAATGTTCTTTTTGATGACTGTGATGCCATTCATCAATTATTTCCAATGTAGTCAACCACAGTTGTCAGATTCAAGTCCATTTCAGTTCACGAATGCCTAAAATAACTACTGACCTTTATATATCCCTTATAATAGTTGATAACTTCCAATTTTATAAATCCAGAGCTCCTAATCCCATATTCTTATTATCAATGTATGTTTGTAGCTGCTTCTCATGTTGAGTTGTGCCAATCAGCAAATAAGGGTCCCAAAAGCTACAATTTGTGTCATCAAGTTCAATTGTACGTTGAGCAGGCAGCTTGCTCCCAGTTGTTATTTTGAGTGCCTTCCAACCTGAGGGACTCATCTTCTGGCACTGTATCTGACAATATTCTGGTGTTACTTAATATTGTGCTGACAGTGTTGCACCCTTCTTCATAGGGGTTTTCAGTGGCTAAGACTTTAGAAGTAGTCTGCCTTTCTCTAGTCCTATCTGTCTTAGTCTGGAAGCGCCAGTGAAACTTGTCCACCAGTGTAAGACAAACTGACAGACGAGTGATAGCATCTGTATTATAAACTCTAAATACAACCACAAGTGGATAAATTGTGGGTATACAGATTTCAAATAATACAAAGAATTCTCTCATCTTGAAACATAAAATCATCATATACCATTGCCCTTTACCTATTCAAAACGAGAGTACTTAGAGCTTCTCCATCAACATCTTCAGCAATTATGACCAAAGGCTTGCGGTGAGCATTGGCAATTTCAAGAGCAG